CCCCCCCCAGCCCCCCATTCTGGTCCCTAGCTGCCGGGCCTGGAAGTGCTGCTAAGGACCCCAACAGCTAGTGCAGCCTCTAAGGACTCCCCACAGTGCTCATCAATGATCAAACAGTTGATGTTGTAAACTCCAGCAACCTGAACCAGAGATGACATTCCTCCCACCCTGGGCCTGGCCCCATTGCTACCATATGTTCCTTCACTTGGTGCCCTTCACCACTAGATTCGGGGTCACAGCAAGTAGTGTGCTCCTACCCACAGGTGAAAGTCTTCACTTACCAAAGTCAGTTCATTGAGTTTGGTAGAGGTGACTCCTTCAAATGCACAGACACACAAGTGTACAAGAATCAAGGAAACATTCCCACCCATGGAATAAAGCAAATCTCCAGGACTTGGCTCCAAAGAAATGGAGATCCAGGAATTGTCTGACAATAATAAAGATGATCAGAGAACTAGTAGAGAACACAAACAATTTAATGATACCTGGAAAGTAATACAAGAACAAAATGAGATGTACAATAAAAAAATAAAACACTAAAGAGATGCAAACATTGGAGCTAAAGAATACAATGACTGACCCGGCCCATGTGTCTCAGTGGTTGAGCATTGACCAGGAGGTCATGGTTTGATTCCTGGTCAGAGCACATGCCCTGGTTGCAGGCTTGATCCCAGGTGGGGGACGTGCAGGAGGCAGCCGATCAATAATTCTCATCATTGATGTTTCTCTCTCCCTCTTCCTTTCTGAAATCAATAAAAATACATCTTAAAAATAAAAAAAAATTAAAAACCTCTAGTTTGTGTTAAAAAGAATACAATGACTGAAGAATTCAATGGAGAGTTTCACCACCAGACTTGAACAAGCAAAAGAATCAGTGAGCTTGAAGATAGATTTCTTGAAATTATCCACTAGGAGTGAGAAAAAATGAAAAGGAATAAAAAAGACCAACAGGACTTATGGGACACCACTAAGAGAAACAATGTGTAGATCATTGAAGTCACAGAGAAGAAAGGAGAAAGGGATAGAAAGCTTATCTAAATAAATAATGGCTGAGAACTTCTCAAACCTGGGAGAGATTTGGACATCCACGTTTTTGAAAATAAAAGGCACTCCAACATTTCAATCACGATTTTCTCAAAAACATAATAAACTTGTCTAAAATAGAAGCAGAATTTTAAAACAGCAAGAGGGAAAGAAATACGTTATACAAAGGTACCCACATAAGGCTATGAGCAGATTTTCCAGCAGACACCTTGCAGGTCAGGAGAAAATGAAATGACACCACCAAGAACTAAGAGAAAATAAACCTTGCCAACCAAGTATACTTTACCCAGCAAAGTTGTTCTTCAGAAATGAAGGTGAGCTAGACTTTCCCTACCAAAAGCTGAGAGCTCATCACTACCAGACTTGACTTACAAGAAATGATGAAAGGAGTCCTTCAAGCTGAAATGAAAGGATGCTATTTAGTAATGTGAAAACACACAATACATTGGTTAAGGTAAGTATATAGTCAGATTTAGAATACTCTAATACTATGATATGGGATGTGTTAATCATTTAACTCCAGTACACAGGTTAAAGGACAAAAGTATTGAAGATAGCTATAGCTACAAACATTTATTAAAGCACCCACAATATAAAATACGTAGAATGGGACATCAAAAAGAAAAAGGAGGAGTAAAAGGGTAGAGTTTTTGTATGTGATCAAAGTTAAATTGTTATCAGCATCAAATAGACTGTTATAGCTATAAAATGTTTTATAAGCCTCATGGAAACCATTAAGCAAAAATCTACAGTAGAGTTATAAAAGATAAAAGAATCAAAGCATACCAATATGGAAAATCATCAATTCACAAAGCAAGGCAGCAAGAGAGGAACAAAGAAACTACAAAATAGGAAACAATAAGGTGGCATTAGAAATCTTTACCTATCAATAATTAAACGTAAATGGATTGAATTCTCAGACATATAGTAACTGGATGGTTAAAAAAAAAAAAAGATCAACTATATGCTGCCTACAAGAGACTCCATTTTAAGAATACACATGGGCTGAAAGTAAAAGGATGGGAAAAGATACTCTGCAAGTAAAAACTAAAAGAGAGATATAACTGTCAGACAAAAGACACTTTAAGCCAAGCATGTCAAACTCGTGGCCCATGGGCTACATGTGGCCCACAATGAATATTTTTTGCAGCCCAGCCAATATAACAGTATGTAAGAAACGTTTTAGTAAAAATTTTGTAACAATTTTTACAATATTCTGTTATACATAATTATTAATAACGAACTACAATGTTCGCTAATGACTGACTGATTACTATAATCTTGTTGCATTCATTTCCCTTACATGCCTTATGCTCTGGCGCACCATTTCTCTCCACTAATACCAGCAGCGAATATTTTAGCAGCGATTACCACGTCGTTAGTCTGGGACTGACTTATTTGGTGTGCGCAACAGGAAATATTTCGCTTTCGGAGAACAAGAAAAAAAAGGTTTATTTGCGTTACGCTTATTAATTTGTGCAGTTATTCAGTGTCTGGTAAGTTAATGTTCAAGAAAAAAATTAATTTTTATTAAAATGTTCTATTTTATGTTAACGATTACTCATTTATTTCAGCTCTTTGTATTCAGCGTGTCTCTATCGAAATAAACCTATGTTTCTATGAAAATTGAAGCTTTTGTTTTTTGCGCCCACATAAACTTAAAACTTGTTTATTTGGCCCGTGTTAGCCTTTGAGTTTGACATGCTTGCTTTAAGCCAAAACAGTAATGAGACTAAGAAGGTTATTATATAATGACAAATGGGTCAGTTCGTCAAGAAGATTAACAAATGTAAATATACAAGCACCTAACCTTGTAGCACCTAAATACAGGGTGTCCCCCAAAAAATGTATACACACTTTAACAGCTGATAGCTTTTGAAAATAAAATGTATTTTAGTAAATACTGCCTTTATAATTATTTGAAGTGTGTGTATAAATTTTTTGCGACACACTATAAAGAAAATACTAACATATCTAAAGAGAGAAACAGACAATACAATAATAGTAAGGAACTATCCCATTTTTAATAATGGATAGATCATCCAAAAAAATCAACAAAAACATTGGACTTGAACCATATTGTATATAAATGGTCCAAACATATATTACAACAGCAGTAGAACACATTCTCCTCAAATGCACACAGAATATTCTCCAAGACAGATCATATAATAGGTCACAAAAAAACCTTAATAAATTTTAGAAAACTGAAATCATACCAAGTATCTTTTCCAACCACAATGGTATGAAACTAGAAATTAATAACAGGAAGAAAACTGAAAAATTCACAAAGATGTGGAAATTACATAATATACTCCTGAACAAACAGTGTGTCAAGAAGGAAATATAGTAGACGCCCCTTTATCTGCAGGGGATATGTTCCAAGACCCCAGTAGATGCCTGAAATGGCTTATAGTACCGAACCATATATATATAAATATGGCTTATAGTATACGTAAAGGAGGTTTATAGCAATAAATAAGGCTTATAGTACCATAATATGTTCGTTCTCTCCCTCTCTCTCTCTCTCTCTCTCTCTCTCTCTCTCTCTCTCTATATATATATATATATATATATATATATATATAGTGTTTTCCTATACATACATTCATTTTCTGGATTCTCTTTGGCATATCCTAATTGCCAGCATCACTACTCTTGTGCTTTAGGGTCATTATCAAGTGAAAACACAAGCACTGCACTATCTAAGACAGTTACTAGGTGCCTAACGGCTAGTAGTATACACGTGTGGGTATGCTGGACAAGGGTCAAGTCATGTCCTGGGAGGGATGGAGAAGGATGGCATGATATTTCATCATGTTCCTCAGAATGGCATACAATTTAAAACGAATTATTTCTAGAATTTTCCATTTAATGTTTTTGGACCACAGTTAACCACGGGTAACTGAAACCAAGAAACTGAGAGTAAGGGGGAACTACTATAAAAAAGATCTTGAATCAAACAAAAATGGAAACACAGCATACCAAAACTAACAGGATGCAGCAAGAGAAGTTATAAAGGAGGTTTATAGCAATAAATGTCTGCACTAAGAAAAAAGATCTCAAGCAACTTAGCTTTACACTTCAAGGAACTAGAAAAAACAAAACAAACAAACAAACAAAAAACGAAGTCCAAACTTAGCAGAAGGAAGGAAATAATTATCAGAGTTGAAATAAAATAGAGACCAGAAAAAAACTATAGAGAAAAATCAACAAAATTAAGAGCTGGTGTTTTGGCAGATAGACAATCGACAAACCTTTAGCTAAACTAAGAAAAAAAACATAAATGAAAGAGGAAACATAACTGACTACAGAAATACAAAGGATCATAAGAGACTATTACAAACAATTATTTGCCAACAAATGTGATAATCTAATTTCTAGGTCCTAATCAGAAGATACTGATAAATCCTTAGAAAAATACAATCTACCAAGACTGAATATGAAGAATAGAACATCTGAATACACCTATAATGAGGGAGATTGAATTAGTAACCAAAAACCTCCTAATAAGAATAGCCCAAAAATCAAAATTAATGCCAGTCTTTCTCAACTTTTAACTACTAGAGGCCCAGTACACAAAATTCGTGCACTGGGGATGGGGGGTGGGGAAGGGTTCCCTCAGCCCGGCCTGCACCCTCTTGCAGTCTGGGACCACTCGCTCCTTACTGCCCGCCTGCTCGCTGCTCCTTACTGCTCAGCTCACTGCTCCTAGTGCTTCTGCAGAGGCGGGTGAGGCTCCTGCCACCACCACTGTGCTCGCCAGCCATGAGCCCGGCTTCTGGCTGAGCAGTGCTCCCCCTGTGGGAGTGCACTGACCACCAGGGGGAAGCTCCTGCGTTGAGCATCTGCCTCCTGGTCAGTGTGCATCATAGCAACCAGTCATTCTGGTTGTTCCCCAGTAATGGTCACTTAGGCTTTTATTATATAGATTCTTTTCTCTCTCTCTCTCTTTTTAAAGGAATGCTTCATGAATTTGCATGTCACCCTTGTGCAGGGGCTATGTAATCTTCTCTATATCATTCCAATTTTAGTGTATGTGCTGCCAAAGCAAGCACTCAACTATTATTTTTTTTAAAAAAGAGGAAAGAATACTCCCAAACTTATTTTACAAGGCCAGCATCAATCACCCTGATATCAAAGCCAGGTAAGGACAATACAAGAAAAGAAAACGAGAGAGCAAAATCCCTGATGAATATAGATGCAAAAATGTTTAATAAATTACTAGCAAACCAAAAATCCAAATGTTAAAAGGATCATATACCATGATTAAGTGGGATTTATCCCTGGGATGAAAGACTAATTTAACACATGCAAATCAATCAAAATGATGCATCACATTAATAGAATGAAGATAAAGTCATATCATCTCAATAGATGCAGAATAAGCATTTGACAAAATATACTTTTATGATAAAAACTCAACAAATTGGGAATAGAAGGAACATACCTGAACATAATAAAGGCCATATTTGATAAGCCCACAGCTAACATCATACTTAACAGTGAAATGATGAGAGTTTTTTCTCTAAGATCAGGAACAGGTCACTGGTGCCCACTCTCACCCCTCCATTCTACATAGCACTGGAAGTCCTAGCCAGAGCAATTAGTTAAGAAAAAGAAATAAAATCAGAAAGGAAATAAAATTGTCTTTGTGTGCAGATGTTATGATCTTATATATAAAAAATCTTAATGACTCCACTAAAAGTTAGAATTAATGCAGTAAAGTTATAGGATACAAAATCAACATACAGAAATCAGTTGTGTTTCTATACAATAACAATAAAATATGTGAAAAAGAAATGAAACAATCCTATTCATAATAGCATGAAATAGGAATAAATTTAACCGAGGTGAGAGATCTGTGCACTGAAAACTACAAGACTTTGATGGAAAAAACCTGAAGGCATAAAGAAATTGAAAGATACGCCATGTTCATGGGTAGAAAGAGTTAATGTTGTTAAACTGTCTATACTATCCAAAGCCATTTATAGATTCACTGCAAACCCTATCAAAATTCTGATAGTGTTTACCAGGGACTGGGGAGTGCAGGAAATGGGAAGAAGTTTTTTGGTCAAAGATTGTAAACTTTTAGTTATAAGATGAATAAAATGATGGGGAGCTAATGAACATGGTATTTATAGTTAACAACGTTGTATTATATACTTAAAAGTTGCTGAGCGTAGATCTTAAATTTTCTAACTACAAAAAAAAGAAATAATTATGTGACATGATGGAGGTGTTAGCTAATGCTATCATGATAATTGTTTTATAATGTATAAATGTATCAAATCAACGTGTATGTCTTACATTTACACAATGTGATATGTCAATCACATCTCAATAAAACTGGAAAAAATAAAAGGAAAAAATAGTCCAATCATAGTGAACCAAATGATAGAGGTGAAGGTGGAATATAGGTCAAATATAGAAGAAAAATAAAGTAAATAAAATATATGCTAATCTTCAGAATTGTATCATTCCCTCTTAAAAAGAAATGCAAGTGTTGGTTGTCTTCAATTTTTTTGGAGGGGGGTAAAGGGGGCCCTTAAAATGGAACCAATCAGATTTTAAACCAGTTGTTAAGTCTCTAAAATATCTAAAAAGATGATACCTATGTTACCTTTGGTATCTTAACTGTGTTAGTAGCCCAGGCTGCTTGAGTTATGAGTTCCACTTTGGGACTGTCTTCATTTTTAAGCGATGTCTTTGTGGAGTGTTGAAAGGCGCCACTGGCTGCTCCCCGTGCAGCCTTCTCTCCGGGCGCAGGGTCTCACAACGCCGAGGAGGAGCTTGTCATAAGGAGGGAGAGAGTAGGCCCGTGTCTTCAGGAAAGATGGAAATTCTCCCCTGGATTAGGTGGAGGAGTTCTCCAGATGGAAGTGACAGAGAAGCGACCAGGTCTTTGGTAAAGAGGGGTTAGTTAACGTCTGGAGGGCAGAGCCTTGTGAAAGGCGTGGCAAATGCTGGTCTCGGACTACAAGCCTCTGCTCTGGGATGCGAACCCAGGCTGGCTCAAACGTAGGTGGGGGTGCGTGCCCGCACCTGAGTCAGGTGTGGGCTGGTGTTTCCATCTGGGCTGCCATGTGCCTGTGCAGTGAGACCAGGATATGCAACTGAATGGGGACTGGAGGAGGTGTCCACCCATTGTGGGCAGACTCTTTGGACCTGCATTAGTAACAGCCTGTCCCCCTGATGAGCTAACCCAGGCTTTGGTGCCATACTTCCTTCCGTACGCAATGGAGCGTGTCCTCCTGAGGTCTGGGCAGCCAGTGCAGAGAAAATTAGTTCAGATGTCACCTTTTTTTTTTTCTTTGTTCAAGTGTGGCTGGATGCACGGCTGTGTGCACAATCACATGGTCCTCAGAAGCCCTTTTCCAGGGCCTAATCCCAGGGGAGCTGGATGCAATCTATGCTGGTTATTGATTCAGATCCCACTGGTGTTGAGCTTCCTGAGAAATGTAAGAATTAAAACACATACACACTACTCAGATGGAGGCGAACACTAACAGACTGGCCTTTCACGGCCACCTTTTCTTTAGGATTAGAAGGAAAAGAAAGCCAAATGACAGCTCCAGCAATAACCCCATTCCCCACGGAGTCATCAGAGGCCAGAGCTCTTGCGGGCAAAGGTCAACAGCAAGTGCCAACTAGGTACTGGCCCATGGTCCCAGCAGGACAGTCTGACATTGCCAAAGGCTTCTTGTTGTTAAAAACGGGTTTCCTGACCTTTCGTGCCTGGGCACCCGCACAGCTCAGATGTTTGTGCAGCAGGCTCAAGGACTCTCAAGTTCAAGTCACTGGCAGACGGGAGAGGAGACCTGGAATTTCAGAATTTCCAAGGAAGGGGGCAGGGCCTCATTCAAGGAGACTAAAGTCATTTGAACCTGAAGCTTGCCCAGTTGCTGGCCTAAGCAGTGATACCTTCAGTCCCTGCCACCCCCCCAACCCTGGTGGGAGTGGCTGATGAAGGACCCCAGGTACTCTCCCAGTCTCAGCCTTGCCCACAGACTTGATGTGATTTTGCATGCTAATTAGGAGCTCTGCAAAACCAGAGCAACTCCCCTCCCTAGGGTAAGCCTTGTTTTCAGTTGCTTAAAAATATACCAAGACAGAAATTTCAGGACACCAAGTGACTCAGAAATCAGTTCAAAGGTTTTTCTGTTCCCTCACTCCCCAGAAGTCAGGCATTCCCACAGGGCCTCAGCTGCGGGTGCTGATAGCTCATTCTTTTTTTTTACTTATTTAATATATTTTATTGATTTTTTACAGAGAGGAAGGGAGAGAGATAGAGAGTTACAAACATCGATGAGAAACATTGATCAGCTGCCTCCTGCACACTCCCTACTGGGGATGTGCCCGCAACCAAGGTACATGCCCTTGACTGGAATCGAACCTGGGACCCTTGAGTCCGCAGGCCAACGCTCTATCCACTGAGCCAAACCGGTTAGGGCAACAGCTCATTCTTGTTACATGTGCGAGCAGATCTGGACCTCCCACGATGTTTTTGGGGAGACGCTGACTTAAAGGAGTTTGCCCTGCTCTGTGAGGGAAGGAACACAGTAAGCAGAGGTCTTTCTGAGAAAGCTACACACAGGTTTTGATGCAACGATGAATATTAATAGTCACAATTTCATTACCCACCCCCCACTCCCTGGAGAGAATGGGTCAGTGTTCTCATAAAACTTTGCTTACCCTGTTAGCACTAATTTGTAAAGGGTGTCCCAAAATTCACACAAGATTTGAATTTTATGCCATTTGTGCCGTAAAGTGTTGCCAACGAAAAAAAAGATAGCGTGACAGCTGACAGTTCGGGGTTATTAAAAATGGAGCGCTACATGAAAGAACAACGCGTTTTCATTGTTGAGCAATATTTTAAAAATAATGAAGGTTTGGCAGCTACAGTTCGCAATTTTCGTGCAAAATAAGGTCGGAATAGTGATTTAACTTCATCAACTGTGAAGAGATTAATTAAAAAATTTAGGGAGACTGGCTCAATTAGTGATCTTAAACACTCTGGCCGTCCTTCAACAAGTCGTTCAACACAAAACATCGAAGCAGTTCGTGAGAGTGTTGCTGAGAGTCCAGGGACATCAATTCGGCACCGTGGTCAAGAATTGGACATTTCGAGAAGCTCTCTACAGCGTATTCTCACGAAAGATTTGCATCTTCATGCTTACAAAGTTCAATTGACTCAAGAACTGAAGCCTACTGACCACGCACAGCGAATAGAGTTTGTTGAATGGATTATGGAACAACAACAAGTGGATGCTGATTTTTCGAACAAAATCATCTTCAGCGATGAGGCTCATTTTCATCTTGATGGCTTGGTTAATTGCCAAAATTGTCGCATTTGGGGTTCAGAAAACCCACGAGTGATTGTTGAGTAACAAATGCATCCACAACGTGTCACTGTTTGGTGTGGATTTTGGGCTGGAGGCATCATCGGACCATTCTTCTTCGAAAATGCAGCTGCTCAGGCAATAACAGTTAATGGTGCTCACCATAGCGACATGATAATCCAGTTTCCTATTCCATACATAACCCTATACTGTATACTTTATGAATCAATAAAAAATTTACAATTTTTAATTATAAACCTGTGTTTTCTATCAAAATTACTTTTGGCGTGAATTTTGGGACACCCTTTACTTAAAATGTTGGAGGTGCATTCTGACTTACACAAAGAACTGAAAGGTTCCTTTTCTGCAGTCGTTCCACATGTCTTGTTGGACTTGGGTATAGAAAGAATCTGTGTCTGGAAGCTGATGTTAACTGACTACCATCATTTATTGATTTATTCTGTGCTCACTTCATGTTCATCCAAGTAATAACCCCAGAAGGTAGGTACTATGATTGCTTCCATTTTTCAGATAAATGGAGAGTTAAGAGAGGAAGTAAGGTACGCAGGTCGTAGAACTTAGCCATCTGAGTGCAGCCTGGACCTTAAGCATCACCAGTATTTGGCCTCTGTTGGTGCTGTGTGGGCTTCTGGTAATTTAGGATTGTGAATTGGTTGGAGAAGCTCATTCCCACAAATACCCAGGATTCAGTCTGC